ACAACACCAAAACAATTTATTAAATCCAAAGTATTTATGAAACGTAAAAAAATCAAACAAAACCTTACTGAAATATTTACATATTACTGATTTCATATTTCCTCCGGTTTTGATTAATATCAGTTTAACAGTATTCGCGTTTAAAGCACAATCCCGTCTTAACGAAACAGTTATTTCTTTCGATTATTCCGATTTTTTTGTGTTTAGGAAACCAGTTATACACAGAAAAGTTTGGTTTCATACCTTTCTCTTCAACCGTTTACAGTTTGTTTGTTTGAAAACAATTTTGAGTATACATTTGTCAGAAAATTGGAATTTAGTTGAGTTCAGTAACTCGTAAGCTGCCAAAAATGAAGGACTCCAGGGTGGAGGGGAGACTCACGGATCCTATCTGTGGTGTTCTGCTGTACTTAGGATAGCTACAATTCCTGACATGATCATTACACGACACGGGTCACAATCAGACTCAGTTCCTAAGTCGTCTTGCTATCGGGGAGGTTTCCGTTCATTGCTCAGTTATTCTGTGCACATGGCATTTGTCTGACTGCCACTGTGTTCGTTATTGATAGTTCACGTTTTGCCACGAGTTTCGACTTTGCTATAGATGACTTTGCATTTTTCGTCTTTGAGTCTCCGTCACAACCACCGTGTCTGTTGACCCACGTATTTAGCCGTTCAGGTAGAAGCAAATCCATGGGTATCCAGTGATGAAATGAAGGTAGTTTACGTTTAAGAGTGGTGCTTAGTATTAGCCTACTTATGAACATTTACCCTAGACTGGTGACTAGAAAGGTGCGGGCAACCGCTTTAGTCGTCTTCCTCCGAGTAATTCACTGCTCACATTGTCTTGAAAAGGCAGTCGTAAGAACAACACTTTTCTTGCTACTGCTATTACTTCGGAAGGTAGAGATCTTCTTGTGATGGTATCCGCTTTTTTGAATCGTACGGTTTATTTTCTAAAGTTTATAGTATTTTTGTTTCATTGGGATAAATTCCGAGGGCTCTGACCATTCAATCGACCGCTTTCTTGAGTGTTCGCAGCAGGGGATTAAAGTTAGTTTATCTTACCCATTTCGAATAATTTTTGTTTCTTAAAGAACTGAGCAATTGATCAATCATTCTTCCACTGTTTTTTATAAATTTTGTGTTATCATTTATCCTCATCTGCTCTACGTAAAATCTTTGGTTTGATAACGTGATCCTCGGGCTAACCCGGTTTAGAGAACTCAATTTGTATGGTTAGTACTGACAATCTGATGAGGATGTCATGTTTCTGAAATAATGGTGATCAGCATGTTGCATAATTTAGACGGTGTTTGAAGTAAGAATCAATCAAGTTGTTTCTCAATTGTTCAAATTATTTCTTTTTTACGAGAGATAAAAAGTTACTTCGGGCGTGAAGATTCTTGAACTGTTTAGATAGTTAAATGATGTTGGTGAACCGGATCTCGAACGAAGCTACCGATAAATTGTGATTACCTAGTTCTGAGGTTTGGCGGAATTTTGATCACTGGTTTGTAACATCCAAGGCATTGGTCAGTTTCAGCTGTCTGTTTTTGTGCGTTTCTGAACCACACTGTTGGTTACGTGATCAATCCGATTTCGTTCGTTAATGTGGAGTAATTACATAATGGGTTCATGTTACTCGACATTTGTTTTAGGATCTTAGGATTGGACAGTGTCTACATCGTGTTGTTTTTAACGAGACAAAATTATCTGTTGCTCATTAGATCCTGGTCGGATAAACAACTTTGGGAAGCTGTCGTTGTATCATAATTATATATATATATATCATACATACATACATACATACATACATACATACATACATACATACATATATATATATATATGTATATATACATATATATATATATATATATATTGTAGTGCACAATGTCCTTAGAAGGCTTGCCCGACCAGCAATTAATGAATGACAGTGGACTTTAGTCTCGACAGTGTGTTGTTGGCATTGCGTAGTTCCGTTTCAAGATAGTTTAGTTCCGTTTTGGAAGTCATTGGGTTGTAGAAAGATAGTAATGGTCCTCATCATTGCAGTCGTTATAGGCTTAGGCCTTAGTGACTGTCGTTATCTAAAACACAATTTGAGGCGAACGATTGTTTTCAATAACTCATAATCATGCCGCTACAGTTTATGTGAGGGGAAAAACCTAGGGGTTGGTAGGAGAACAATAAAATGGGAGGAATCGTTCTCTTCTTATATGCATTTGTGTGCGTGTTGCACGCCGCTTTCTCAGATCTGTGCTTCCGGGGTTTTTCGTTGTCAGTTACGGTCATCCAGTTATGCGGGATCGGTGTTGTTGTGTGAAAATGTTCGTGTGTTCGGGAAGAGAGGGGTGGGTTCGTGAACCAAGGCTAAGATGAAACTCACACGAAAAAATGTTTCATTCACTCTCTCCTAGTATCGGTTGTTGTGGTGATCTAAAGTGAACTTCTTCATTGTCTTAGCCATCGAACCAAATTATTTGTTTGACTGTAACTTTTCGTAGCATTATTTGAAGAGTTCAATTGAGATTTCAGAAACCTTTTGCGGACGTTTTGTGAATTATCTTGAATTTCTGCGATGAACACACCCACCAAATTATTTTACACTGCAACAACTACTTCGTGGACGATGGTACGCAGCATCTGTGCAACTGAAATAATGGAGAATCAGCTAAGTATTGTGAACAACAAAAAACAACAGTTCAGTTCAATTCAGTTTGAACAATCATTAGCCATGCACTTTCGTGCTCCGGTTTTGGTTGCTGTTTTTTGCCTGCCAATTTGGACGAAAAGTAGGAGGAGGAATGAGTTGTCCAACCCACATCATGGCGCTGTAGATATGAGCTTAACATGGCTGAACATGGGTAAGTTCAATTCGTGCGTCGGACGACCGGATAGAACGATTTCGACAACTCCCTCAGATGTCAAGCCAAGATATGTAACACAGGCCAGCTGTGTGCGCGATGCCTTTGCACTTTTTATCAGCGAATCTATGTTAAGTGCTATCAAGCACTATTCAGAACACGACAAAATAACAGACAATTCCTGATAGAGCTGGAAGGTTTTATTGAGCTATAGTATACTGTCGTCTTGGTCTATGACAATAGTATGTTCGGTATTAACGTAATAATTGTTATCTTGCGGCAATGGCAGCAATTGATGCGTATCTTACCGCTGGACCATGTGATACGAGCAGACTTGCTTGATGTTGCAGCCGTAAACGTATGGGTTCATTCAGGACAAGGTTCTTAGGAAGCTGGAGGGTCGCATTACGCGAAGCAGTTTACTCTGATCCGTGTTCTGATCTGGTCATGGTACAATGGCTTCAGATTATTATCAAATAAGTGCAATGATATGTAACCCTGAGCTTTAGTAACAGAATATTACCAAACTGCTTCATGTGCAGAGCAATGATTTCGTGAAAGTATCGCTGTCAGACAGCAAATAAAATGCGTGTTTTCACCATGCAAACTGTGTGTAACATAGTGATTGTTGGAATACTTTTGTGAATACATGCTCTAAATATATTCTTAGCTATACTTTTACTCACTTTCAAGGTACTCATGTAGTGGTCAGTTTGCTGTGCATTGAACCACAATATGGCTAGTGCGTGCATTACCTTTGATCAGCCATGAAATACCGCTCACAAAATGTGCTTAATTTACCCGGTTCTGTACACAGAGTAGCTTCGATAAGTATCGTATTATGTTCAAACGTTTGTTCACCATCAATAGAAACCTTAGATTACAACATGTTTGCTGCATCGACATCTTAATTGGAAACCCATTGTGCAAAAACTTTATGAGCTGAGTCTATGATTGTTGCTTCATTTGATATCATAATATATATATATATATAACTTTAATGTTGGGATGTGTTTCATTACCCAAGAAAGGTCATGGTGACTGTTTGCCAGTTGCAAGGTGTTTGGGCATTCCAGTTTTTTATTACTGACTCGTCATCATCAAGTATGGTCAGAGTGATGTTGGCTCCATCAGACAGCTTTGCACATGCCAATAGCCTAACAAAAGATTGTAATTCAATTACGCCTATTTGTAAGGATTTTATACCTGTTCACATGATTCACAGAACTTTCCGGGACCTGACGACCGAGCGACTTTATCTCTAATACCTTGTGAATTGAATTGACTTCATGTACATGTGAAACTTATATGACCGGGTACAATCAAGTTTTTTCATACGATCATAGATGGGTGCGTTTCACATGCAACTAGTTATACAACGATTCACAAGATTTTGAAAAGCCTAGGTGATTGGTTTGGATATGTTTATGTGAATGCAAAGCTGCTCCGGATGAATATTCAAAAGGTGGAATAATCCACGCTTATGCGTGGCATCCGGTGTTCACTGTCACAATGCTTCGCAGTTTATGAGGAAATATTACACCCAGATCGAAGTGATTCATCGATATATAAAAAATGAATAGAAAACTCAAACCAAACGGTCATTAAGCACGAGGTTTGTGACTTTGGCCTGACAGAAGTCTCCATAGGTGATCAATCTCGAATTGCACGTTGGTATATTAGTTGATGTATCCAACACTATTCATTTGTAAAACAGTCCCATAGACAATGTAGAAAACGGTATTCGCGAAGAAATTTCTTTTTGATATATATACATAAATGCATATATATATATATATATACATATATCAGGTAATCATAGTACAGATGTCTGGTTGGCTGACTAAAGCTCAGTTAGTAATGATGACGGGGGCGAGCAAACAGAGCAAACGAATATGACAAGGCTAGTGTGATAATCGTGGGTGGTAGATGAGAAGACAAAGGTTAACTGGAAAAACGGTAGAGAGATGGGCAGATTCAAATGAAGGTTGTGAGCCAAGACGAGAGAGCGGGATGAAGTTGTGTAATATGCGGTATAAACTATGGGTCATCGTTACTAACTGAGTTTCAATCGGCCAATCAGACATCGGTACTATGATCACCTTATATACATAAACGCCTGATGCGACATATGGAAATTTCTTCGCAAATACCGTTCCCTAATATTTATTTGATTACATTGATTTCTCAGCTCCATTAGTTTAGTGTACCATAAATAAATCAAGTGGAGCGTTATCCGCTACTTGTTACAAAAATATGCTTACTGCTATATTTTGTGAAACAGAATTCACGTACAAGTCCGTAGTAGCATAAATTAGTGTGAATCTTATTCGAAATGTCAACCACCTCCGCGAATTTTTTCTTGGTCAATAATTAATGCTTTAGCGGATTCATGTATTACTACTTTGGCGTGTATGAGCAGGTATACGGTTAGAAGTCGAAGATTGCATTATCAAACTTATGTCAAACGCAGGTGTGCTGTTCAGTTACGTTGCCCGACAGATTTAAATCGTATGTTTAAATAGTGTACGAGTTCACTAGCCTAGGTGGGATTCGAACCCGAGTCTGCCAACGTTTTCACAATTCCAACATAAAAAATAAATCTGTCAGATAACATAATTGGACAATTCACCCCGCCTTAGAAGTTCTGTCGGCGGATTCCGGTGAATTCTAAGGGAAACCTGTCGGCGCAGTCAGTTGATATTCTACCTGGTGGTTTATATATGCCTCTGTAAGTTGCATGGCCAATCCAAATGTGAAAAGATTAATGTCATAGGCGTGGCCGCGTAGCTCAGTTGGAAGAACGTGCGCTTCAATGCGCGTGTGCGAATCCCAACTAAGCTACTGTACGTTTCCCAGCTCTAACATAAGTGTATCGTTTTTGCGAACAAGCGATTTGTTTACGATTATCAATTTATGCTAATTTATGTTATGTTGTCTGTTAAATGTTTCCATCGTAAAATTTACAACATGCCAACATGAGAGTATAATCTGTCGTTTGCAAATACACACATGCTGATTGCAACAAGGAAAAGTTGAGATGGGGCTGGAATACTTGAGCACGGAACATCCTATACTCGCATGATGATGTTTGGCAATTCTATTCATAGAAATATTCAAAAAAGCAGAGGCAAAAATAATACTCGTTGGCCCGGGTGAAACCTTCTTTGCAAGTAACTTATCTCCTCCTACAAGAGGTTATATCAATGTGTTAGACAGAGTTTTGTTAAGCAGTTAAAGGCAAGTTGTGCGATTGGATAGATGAAGAATTATCAGTGGTTATCAAAACACGGCTAGTCTGGGAGCAGAATATTGCCAAACTGCCCAAATGAAACCAAGCGAGAGTTCCTTCGAATTCATCCTCGAGTCTTCGGTTAGCCGAAGCTTTACCTACAAGTTAGCTTATTGAATTTGGAAAACCTCAGTGGATTGGGGATAGGTGTACAATGAATAAGTTTTTGTGTGTTCTTTATGCCTGGGCTCAAACATTAACAGTATCTCATATACCCTATCGAAACACTGAACTTTGTATCCAATAATTCCAATAATTTGTAGACCTATTGTTTGCAGGTTTAGAATTCACTTTAAGCATCTCAAAAAGTTGGGGGTTTTGCCAGTAGTTTATTAACCTAGCTCTAGCTCCGGATATTGGTTCTTTTCCCTCACCTTAGTAAATGTACCCCGGTGCAAGAAAGTGCGGAGCAAGAACTTTTCAACACACTCTTGATGTAACGCACCCTATGAAGAAGCTAGTTGCATAGAGAAATCCTCACTCGCCTGTGGACCCGTTGAAGCTTTTTCGTACATCAATCAACAACAAATTGCTAAGTGCATGGCAGGAAGATATAACAGTAATGCAATAGCGAAATTGAAGTCCGACGCAATAAACAGTGAACACGTAAGGAATAGCTTGAACCTTTTAAACAGTAGCTTTTATTTGTTATAATACAAATGTATAACTGCCCTGCGGCTATTTATGGGGAAATGGGATGATGGGTAGTTACACACAACGAGGATTTGGGCTGGCGAACAACAGTGGTGAGTGACACGCATCGGAGTTGGTATTGGCCTTAGATTTTTAATTCCATTAAACCATGATAGGTAAAGCATCTATGTTTACTGACGAAATAACGTGACCATCTCAGCTAGTTTGGACCCAAACACAAGCCTGATCGTTCTACTTTTCACTCGAAATTTTAGGGATAATTTATCATCTACGGTGGAATTCATCAAACACGTAGATTGATATACATGTGCAAACGCATGAATGTTACTGCAACCAATCGAGGGATGATTTTGAAGTGGGCTCTCATTCTAAGTATCTTTTTGTTATAGTCTTCCATTAACTAGTTATTGAAATACCTGGTGAAGAATTTATATCACAATGAGAGGCTTGTTCTAATAGTCTTCAATCATATGGAGGTTTAACCTTCCGTAAACATTTCAAGATGAATATTGTAGTTGTTCAATGTTTGTTTAATGAAGAAATTCTCGATGAAGTAGTTTTCCTTCAGCGAGCTGCGTAACAAAAATTGGCCACTGAAATGAAAAGATAATTTTTTCAAGGGTAATTTAGGTGAAGTATATCTTTTTACAGATGTCACCTTACACAAGTTTTAAAACTCCCAAATACCCGTTTCCTTTTTCAAACTATGAAACAATTAGGCATCTCAGAGGACTCCCTTAAGAACACTCAAATAATTCACGAAACGTATTTTGTATTATAACAAAATAGGAACACAATTGACTGTACTCAAGATTTGCCATTAGACCGAAACAGAGGAGAGGTTGAGAGGCTTATGTTGATTTGTTCCCAGGCAGGAACCACAAATAAACGAGTGTTATGTCGCAATGTACACAACCTTATGTGACGTATGACGGACGATAGGATTAACAGAGATTTCAGTATACTTGAATATCAGTATTGCGTTCAGATTAATAATTGGTACGTCTGACGGATTGCAAAAGACCTTACCATAAATTTCATATTTCCCGTCCCAGCTGCTTCCATGCCCATGCACGGAATCTGTTCGGAGAGATCTGCTGCTGGAATGACATGTTCCGCCAGGGAAACGCCGTAGTTTCGCAAGTAAACAAGCTGTGGGAAACAAAGCAAAGCAACATTATTTTTGTTATTTGTTTTGCTGAAGTGAATGATGTAATCGGCTAACATTGTTCCGATTACTATAATGCTATGAGAACTGACAAGGTTCAGAAATGGACACTTTTAAGAATAGGAAACCGGTTTAATTGAGTTATTAGTTATTATCACTATTCTCTATCTGGTCAGCCCACGGAACATTCAAGTCTAACTCGGAGAGTTTGTATAAATATTACGTGAATTAGGTTATTTATTCATTGTTTCCAACCTCTTAATTGTAGTGCTGAATGCGTTTTCTGTTACTAGTGGCTACGGACTGTGATACCTTCTGAAGCAAAAGGTGTTGAGTTTGACTATTCAGCGAAAATTCGAATGAACGTACTATACAATAAATTTCACTCAATGGCTGATAAAAGTTTGACAAGATATTGGTTAAACGATATGTAGAAATGCAGTAGGGAAAGCTCAATAGAATCTGCTGGCCCCGCGTACGGAAGGTGACTATTAGACAGACAAACAATGTGAGACCACATCCATTTTGACAAATTGTATTCGAAAAGGAATTGATTGCCAGTTCACATTTTGATATTGAACTCAATGGAAAGCGCAAACATTTTACTTTTCTCATAAGTTGACCGATGCAGTATGAATCATCCAAACAAACGTTTAGGATATCTATCGGACTATAATCTGATAAGCCCCACGAATGATCACGCGAAATACCCCGTAGATTATGAACCAAACAAGTAAGGTTGTTCATTTTTCCTATTCCTGATGGACCTTCAAAAGACAATGAAAATTAAAATATCCCACTAATGTGTTGCTGGAGTTCACTATCGCAGTCAGTCGGTCTTTCCGGATAAGATGAGGCATTACACATGATGGCGGTCTATAGAGATCCAAATTCTAAATATTCCAACGTTTTCATTCAATATTGTTTTACGATGGGCAATTTCAAATACTCTGTAGCAATGTAACCCTTAGAGATAAAGACATATAAGTAGCCACGCGTCCCAGTTTCAAGACCGTTGATCAGAGGCCAACAGCGTCTGCCAACCAGAAGCCATGCAGTTCAAACAGGAGTCTTGTGGTAAGGAGAACTAGAAAGGCGAGGGGTTGATCTCTATTTTAGCAATTATACTACTATTTACGTAATATTTGATCCGTTCCATTTTGTCCGAAGATTTCTGTTACTTTCTTCCTTAATCTCATGACCTTGGACTGCGGTAGACGACTACAAGTGCGATTTGTAATTCACGATTAGTGTCTACTTCGAGTAGCGCATTACCGCCAGAAATTTCTTTGTTTTGGGTAATTGCGTCTTTTAATTTCACGGTATGAGCTGCCCTTGTTTCTTAACTCATTGATATTGACGTTCTTTTAAATAATTCAACCAGCTTTTGAAAGCTTTGGAGTTCACCAATCTTTAAGAAATAAATTTGATGAGGGAAATTCTCGAAGGGAGTAATGCTAAAAACAGTATGGAGTTCAGTTAGTCATATGAACACTAAGACAGTGAAGCGATCAGCTCCGACTCTGTTACTACTTCGTATTCACAACACAGTTTAATCATGGCAGCTATATCGTTGTCACTGTGAAATAACGTTCTTCAACTCAACCCTAGGTTATCAGCTAAAATAGTGACCATTCATTGGACGCGCTCGGGCTATTTCGATTGCTGAGGCATCAAGAGGGGCAGTGCTGATTCCTCGTTTTTCTTCGGTTCATCACGCCGCCATAACAGTTGAAGAATGTGCTATGTATTAGCTACCATGATCTGTCGTTCGTATACTAAACCCCCAGACAATGAATCACCGGGATTAGGTCGCTGAGCCCTTCTAAAGCTAAATAAATGTTTCATTGGAGAGGTTCTGGACATTAGGTTCTAGTTTATACCTGACAGTGACATTCAAGAGCATAGATTAAAACGACTGTAGAATTGCCACTAAGAATATATCTCGACTTTGATTGAACAGAGCATACATGATAACTAGGGTCAGTTCCGACTCTTCTCTTTTCCACGGGTGTAAATGTTCAATCTATTCCAGTATTAAACAGCCAGTGCACCAAAGCTTTTTATCACAACTACAGCAGTTCATCTGCATTCGTGATCTCGTGTTCTTTGCGAATAATTATGATGACTGAAACTGATCCTAATTACTTCATCCATCTCGAAATTAAAGCTATGGCTTTCACTGTTCACGACTGCGTAGTAATAAGAGACTTTCAGTCTCAGTTATTTCCTTGCTCTGTTTATCATATGATGTGTCATCATTGCACCTAGATGAGATAGCGATGAGGTCTACCCAATGTAGCTTGTGAATCCGAACAACCAGAAAATCAGTTCGGTTTTTACAACCATTGACCATGCAACGTCGTGCGCCGGTTTTGGTTGATATCTTTTGGCTGCCCGTTTGAATAAAAGAGCAGAATGAATATTGGAGTGTTGTGAGCAAATTCAGTTGGAAGATGGAGAAGTCACAGCGACTGATGTTACAAGAATAATGAGTAGTTGTATGAGCGCCACTGTTTGCGACACCTAACCATATCGCTCAGTGTCCCTAACCATCGCCGGTTCAAAGTCACGGAAATGATCCAAACGGTTCATAATTTGGGTAATGGTGCGTGTGTTTCCATGCTAGAATGGCGCTGGGAAGACGTTCAGGGTGATCTACATTGTATGCACGTGAATACATTCTATGTACATGGTTGACAACCGTCTAGCCTGAAACATCCGATCCCCCACGAGGACCCAAATGTACATAAATTCATCCATCTACTCAGTAACCGCGATTGCAAAAAGCGGTTGCTATGCTGTTTAGCCTTTGGGAAAAGAGAGAATATCCGGTTTTGCTTGTGACTGACAGTAAGCCGATAAATGTTTCCTGCTATGTGCAATACGTTGATGGTATTAGAAATATCATTTACATATGCCTGAGTCAGATAATGGGTGCTTTTCATGAAATACTACACGAGAGAGGTTGTTTCAAAGTCGAAGTCCATCGCTAGTGGATTATATAATAATAGAAAAAGAGACAGTGATTGTTTAGTGGAATTTTTATCGAGTTTTCTCTTTCTTAGCAGTGCATTATTGGCGATGCTTGATTGATTTTCATTAATAAAAGTCAACTACAGCAAGTTCTGGTCTATTGAACCATTATCAAATGAGGATTTCAAAAACCAGAATGCATTCATAATTTCGCATGAAATCTGTACGGATCAGTAAAACGTTGAAGCCATGGTGAAATAGATGACAGAGAACTCATATAGACCGGAGTTGAAAGGATAATGAGTAGCAGCACGAGTGCCACTGTTCACGACACAGCAATATCACTAAGTGCCTCCAACCCCCGGTTAAAATGATTTCGGGGTCCCAATCTGGGCAGTCTATCTCGGTCTATATGGCCCAGTCTCCTGGTAAGGGTTTCCATATCCTCATGTCACGTCTTCGTCTGATCACCTTCGACATTTTTCCATCCACTACCTGCCTCCGGAAACATTGCGCGCCACAGCAATCTATTTGGTGATATGTGTAACATATCCTAACCAAAGTGATCTATGGAGGTCAATCACTTTCTCCAGGAACCTACATAAATCTCTGCGTCTAAAATCCATATTGCTCATCCGGCTGCCCTATCAGACACGTTCAATAATTTTTTTTCACATCTGCAGGGAAAAAACAGCAATCAGAACCGGCACATGAAAGTGCATGACTAATGGTTGTAAAAGCTGAACTGAACTGATGACATCTGTTTTCCGTTTAGCAAAAGAAAGGTGCAAGTGCATCACAAGTCACTTCTTACTAAAGTACTTTAAATTACAGCACTCCTCGTAAAAGTTACTTGACGATTCTTTTATTTTTTGGGACATAATATAACACGAAAGTGGCGAGCAAACGACAAGAGTCACAGCGAGTGAAAAGTGGGTTAGTGAAACAAAGTTCTACAAAATGTAATCCTTGCGAACAATTGTGTGATGAGGAACACGAAAAAGGGACGAAACCACTGATCAGCGAAATCTGTTTGAGAAGAATCGTGATACAGATACAAATGGAATACGTTGTCTTTTGACTACAAAAGTAGTGGGAATAGGAGTTTTCCCAAAAATTATCCAAAACTGTTTTAGCAGCGAACATTTTCAAATGTATCATAAAAGAAAGAGCTTCCGCGGTTCTCAGAATGCATAAGCCACAACGGAAATATCCATATGTATATACGGAAGAATTGTAGAAAATTCCAACTAAGAAAGCTCATTGTGCGGATTTATTTGTATTGCCAGCTGTTTACATTATAATAAAATCAAATCTTCTATTCCTTCCCATTTAGTCTGCTCAAAACGAGCAGGTATGTGATACCTTGTTCATACACGGGTAGCCATATCAAAAACCCTATTGGCCTTTAGGATAAATGGCTAGAAAATAAGAACGCGCCCCACTGTATCTCAATTTGGTTAACTCCAGATTTATTCCTCGAATGAAAACAGTTGACCCTCCGAAACGGCAGTTTTACAGCAATCATTTATTCCAACTGTTTCGGTTACGCGGTTGACAGTTAACTAAACCTAATTCAGTCATCTCGTAGAGTAGAACATGTGTGCATACATACACAAACATCACTATTTGAGGTCGCATAAAAATTCGGAATTCCACCGGCTAATTCGGTAAACCATAGAACATATGCGTCCAGTGTACACAAGGTAAGCTTTTGATTTAGAGCTTCACTTGATCCTGGTTGGTTGCGCATTACGTATATCACACAACACTGATAGGCACAGTGACACACCCAACACTGTGTCCTCGGTTAACGTCTGAATCAGATGTATCAAAGCGACAGACCTCGAAGCGAGTGCTTTGAGGCACACATCTGATTCCAACCTCACAGGTGTGTCAATAGCACAATACCCATTAATTATCGGCCTCAATGCACGATGGAAATTCCGGTTTAGTACACACCTATGAGGTGAATACATCGGAAGTAGGCCTGATTCTAACCGAGATTTTTTTTACAATGACTCGGTCAACAACAAAGGAATTAATTGTATAAATAGAAGATTAAGTGTCACATCTGAGCAGGCGTACAGTGATTAGTTATCTGTGCCGATAACGAGGTTCAAAGAGATTTTTTCGAAGTATATCGTTCGAAATATCTTCGTTCAATAGCCTTTCCATTAAAACACTACGATCATCTGCGTTGTAACACTAAAGACAGAGAAAAAATGTCAAGTTCATGTCTGTTTGTCTAAGAAAACCTCCTCCTACAAACCCTCGATGTTCAGTTGTGGGTCGATGGTTGTGTAAACCGTTCGAAGAATGTACCAACTGTAGGCTCATCAGGAGGCTGCATATTGGCGAGGTTATGAAGTAAATATTGGTAACTTGTATTAAGCGGTGTCTCCTATACATACATCCTTTTCTTCTTCATCTTATATCGTTTTTATGGAATACATAATGATACAGTTTTCAGTGGGAAGCTGTAGTGGTGGGATACGAGCACACATCCTACGGGGTGATAGTTTGGTGACGTTACCACCGGACCACCATCACCAGTGATGCTATCATTTCCGGCATTGGCAACTAAAATACTCCTTTACCGTCATTTGATAAGACAAAAGTTGAAACATGACGAAATTTCCATTCGTGAATTGCTTCAGGCTTTACATATATGGTTCGATTGCTCATTAGATTACTATATGGTCGAGCACGTTCTGTTCTCTGGTATTTTCTACCGGGAGGGAGGTGGGCTTTTGGATTGGACTGTTGAGGAAATTTCCATTTTTCCTTTTCTATTATAACCCTTTAGCAAACCAAGTCGATATAGTTCTCAAACATTTTCCGATGATACTCCTGCAAACTCTTACACTGCAGCCTTGCTTGTGAATAAGGTTTCATTGAGGTTCCATTGGGCAGTAATCAGACGGTTGATTGCGTATTGCACGAGTGACCGGATTTTTGGTTGACGTGATATCTACACAAAACTGTTAGGTCCATATTCAGGTAAGGATTATTTTTCACAAAGTCTTTCAAGTTAGGCTTCTGTTCTGCGAACCGGACGTTCAACTTCAAATACTTGTCGAATGAGCCGAGTTTGCACGGGTCTCACTGTATGATCTACGGATTCGCGCCAATGGGATATCGTACGTCACTTAGTCTATGGGGAACGTTTTTCAATCAACGTGATGGAAAATTCCTCGAAAGTGATTTACTGAATTAGTGTCGAGCACATGAAGACCGAATGAAGCTTTCCGCGTCCGGCCGTTGGGTAGTGCGTAAGCAATGACTAGCTTTGTGCAGTAAAATTTAATTTTAAAATGAAGCAATTTGTGGAATATATCCTTACCATTTACGCTTTATTAGCAAAAGCAATGGATTCGAAAACACGAGACCAAAAATAATCACCATTGTTCGACAGAATTGGTGAGGTATTGGAATTCACAATATTAGAAATCACTGATGAAGAGCTCATGAAGAAGTTAGTGCGCTATAACCGCAGTCTAGTGCACTTCTCTCAGCTTAATCTGTGTGCAGGTGATTCACGACTAATTAACAAATAGGACGACTTCGGGAAGTCGTTTTTTGACGTATTGTAGTCATTTCCTTTTAAAATTTATTGTGTTATCCTAATTTCCATGTTTGTTTTCTGGTCTCGGTAACAAAGGAAGAAAAGGAAGGTAGTTCGTAGATTTTTCGATAACCAGGACACACTTTTAAGTACAGAATCACCAATGTAACCAAAATTTTGATAGAAGGTATAACCCCTTAATATTCGTCTACAACCAGACCTAGAACGTTGGGGGAATCAAAGGAAGGGTACAATAGTTATAGATGTGTTAGGAAAGCAGTTCTTGGCAAAAGAACACGTGTCAAAGGANNNNTGCAATTTTATGGATGCCATTGGATTACAACCTGAGACGAGCGATGAGATAATAGAACTTGGAATCGATTTCTAAAGAAATTTCTGTACAGTTTTTCTTTTAGATAAGCATGTTTCCAACGAACGATCGTATTTATTGGTAGTGCCCTTGGGGGTGGGGTGGGCGACGGAGCGTGCAGGTGCTCTATTGCAGTGAGTCCCACATCTAAGAGGAATACCATTATGGATTATAAAAGAAGGGGAAGTGTTGGTTAGAATAGACCAGAAGAAGGCGCAGGGGACAATTTCATTGGTTATCTGAGATTTTCAAGTAGTTTCCAAACGTTGGGGCTTGATGGACTTGGTAATTGAGCAGCTTGAAAGGTGTAATTAAAACGTTGTCGGAAGCCTACCGTCAAATAACCATCGTTGTAACTAAGTCGAGTACGATAATTTTATGATAAAACTCATAAAATAATTTACCTGCTCTACCTGATTGTTTTCTAATGAATACATATTCAACTACAAGAAAGAATTTCTTGTGGAAAAGGTTCTAAGTGGTCGATTCATACACAGTAAACAGATACAACTAGGGCACTGCATGGCTGGAAACAAAAAAGAAGTAATCTAGTGTGATGCTGATCCATCTATAGAGTTGCAGTGAATAAATGCATTATACGAAATAATGATTTTTCATTTTTCAAGTAACAAGCAATGATGCTTCAAAATCTTTCATTCAATGTTTATCTAAGAGAGTGGTCTTGGTAAGGCATACGCGTCGTTCCGACAGAAGGGGTAGAGCCGGTATCGATTTCGTAGTTTGATCCCATGTTCTAGATTCTAATTAGTGTGCTTTGTACTCGATTAACAGTGGAAGTTGAATTGAAGTCGAATGATGCATACATCAGTTTATGATATTCCAAACAGTTTGCACAGTTTCGTTTGATAAATGACCGAAGGTAATCAGTGAAGTCTTTTAGGTGAGAAAAGGTGTTCTACTTCTTCCACGACAATCACAAATATCCTGTGGGAATATCACTTTCGTTTGAATGAAATCAATGCCCAACGCTTGCTAATAACCCATAGCTTGTCAACGAATAGAAGTGCACTCTCAAATGAAAAGACCAGTATATTTAGAAAAGATTTATCATGTATTCATTCATGTAGCCAACCTATCATTAAACCGGAACAATATAACTCAAGAGGGATTAAAGTTAAAGAACGGTCACTTCGAAAATCAGAAGATGCTCACCGCACTATCACAATTTACTGTTCGAATAAAAACAAGAGAAAAAGCAAATCTGTTTTCACTTCCTACCATTGGAATATATTTAAATGTGAATAGTATCTAGCCTGAGATGACCTGCAATTTTTGCGTGCACTTAGGTTTTCGTTAGAATGTTTCATATAAACGGTTATTCTCTAAACGTATATGTTTATCCTTTTTTAATGCTTACCTTCAATCGGCCATTGACAACGGGATCACAGTTAATGGATTTCGCCACCGAATTGATGAGCTTAATTATAAGCTTCGCCATATAATACCCCGGTGCAGCCTTTCCGCCCATAATCACGGTTCTCGGACAGCATTGGGCTCGGGGATTGGCTTTCATTCGGTTGTACAAGGTCATCACGTGCAAACAGCACAGTAAATGCCGTTTGTATTCGTCCACGCGCTTGACCTGATATTCAGAAAGTCAGTAAGCAGTGCAGAGAATGTTAGCATCAGAATGCGACATGCTGTGAAACGTGAGATACGCACTCACACACGCATACGGAATAATCAACGTGATAAGCTGGTGTTGCTTGACATTTAACTGTGATATTTTCTTGATCATTGAGGCCTGATGAAAAACTGGCAACTTGGTAACTCAAAGGAAGCGTATCACACTTGTGGGGTCATACCAATGGTTATTTAAACGTACAAAGAACGCACAATCACTGTAGAAAATTGGAATAAAGTTCGTTTGTGCAGCATTCGTATTGCAGTAGTCACAATCTGTAAACCAACAGCGCACCAGGGTGAATGCGACTTTTGAGCGCTTTGAAATGGACATGAAAATAATGTAGGATTTGAATCAATTTCCAAGAGGGACTTCGTCGTGTGTAGAGCAATGAAGCATGAATCTAAAAGCCAGGAAGCACTGAACACCTGTTTCGACCTGGTTGGGTCTCATCAGCAGTGTGAATCCACTGACCCAACCGGGGATTGAACCCGGGATCTCACAGGTAGAACGCAAGCATGCTACTCATTCGGTCACCGGGCAGCCGATCCAATCGTTTTTCCATTTTGCATTCATAGCACAACCCATTATGTTGGAGCTTGTTGTGGGCATCGCGTCCTGCTTATCTCAGCACTAGCCTCGGGGGCTATGACACTTGAGAGTTCTGACTCAGTGAAGCATATTACCAGGTAGATACGTATGAATTGAATAACCTTAATAATTGAGTGAAACAGACCACTTTGCAGACTGAAAATTCTAAGGTACAGACTCCAGCTCATCCGATCAGTGACACACTGGGTAGGCGGTGGAATGAAGTGGAGCTCTTCAGTAATGTACATTCACCGTCCCATGTGGAAATACGAAACGCTCATTCAAAAGTTTGTATTCCCGCTATAAGAAACAGCTCACAATAGTTCTAACCAGAAATTCTATTTCAACTTTCTACCTAGTTTATTTTCTTAAATGGTTAGCGAAAACCGAAAATTTCAATTTACCTACTTTCATAGTCCTTCTACTTTTCATTTTGAACTTGCAAAGGTTATATGTTATTGAAATTTTGATGGTATGTTAAATCTCGTTGTCATTCTAACAGAATGAGCACAGTTGACGGATGTAGCAAATGAAGGGACCTCAAGGGTAATTAATATTTTGTTATACATTTTGACATATAATAGCGAATCATTTTTCAAGTTTACTATTTTTACTACTCTAATAGCTAAATCCACTACTGCACGGGACCCTTCATTGGTTTCAGCGCCATTTGTCATACGTCGAGGTTGTAATTCAAATTACTTACTAATTGGTTTGGCAAAATACGATCATAATTTACATTCAAATATGAAACTAAAAAAATGTCAAACACATTGTTTTCCTGACCATAGCGATCAGTACAATCCGTACAAAACTTCGTGATATAGAAAATTGTCTCAGTTGCAGCTACTTTGTTCCAATGGCAGATATGATCCGGAAGAAGTGACATTTCTAGACGGATAATGGTGAGTATATATAGTGACGTATTGGCTCTGACGACACTCTCTAGATGAGAATTACAATCAATGTACGGACGGGCATCACCGCACATTCGGTTCAAACCACTTTCAGGATCAATAAAAACCACAGATAGAGCACGTAATTGAACTCTTTTTAAATAATTCAACGGATCACAAACCGTAATTTGAGGTGATTTGAGCGTAAGCGCTTGAATTCAGACGTCTATTACATTTAACACTGGCCCATACCAGACTGTGTAATTGGGACCCACATTTATCCTGTCTTTTCGGGTGTTTTCACAAACAGATGCAACATATTTGCCGAATCACGAAAAAAGAAAATCAATTTTGATCAGAACACAGTTCTCAAATAGACAACCTCCAATCCCGCTAAAGTAAGAATGAAGGAAGGTGGGGGTACTAGGATTGCGTCAAGAAGTGGAGATCTTTCTATAGAATAACAGGAACTGCGGTTAATTATGAACCGAAAATATTGGTGCACACGAAACCATCGTCTTCTAGCGTTTCAATCCAATGGCTCTGTATATTTTGAGCATATTTAAATTTTGAATTCAATTGATGTGTATCAGATCTGTGGTGCTGTAAATGTGCCAAATTCACGATTTAAAAAAAACATATGATGAGGGGGAGGCGCATAGCTGAAGACACATTACCAAAAGGCAGTCCAGTAAAGATTCATGCATGAACCACATTTCTGGTCTTCATTTTAAAGTATAGAAAACTTAACTTTTATTTCACAATTGAAGAGTACAACCTAGGCAGAAATTTAATGATGAAAACCAGACTACAATCCGGATGAATGTCAGTGATAGCACAACAGAGATTGAAAAAATCAAAAGAACAATGGCGAGTGAAGTCATCGGTAAGAGAATGGATGATTTCGGAGGTCGTGAATCGACGACTGTCAGAGAATAAAAGTGAATAAGGTGATCGGAACTACGGAACCTTAGGGACTAAAAAACACAATGGAAATCAGCCATATTAAAACGTTACTGTTTAGGATATAGATAACTCATAAATTCACTGAATGTAATTTGCAATACTCCATAACTAGAGGAAGCAGGAATATGAAAAATCGCAAGGTGGATTTCTAAGTGTTTAACAGGTGCAGTAGACCGGGAGTGCCATATGAGAATCAACAAGTGGCCGATGGGATTATCAGTTGGAAATAGTATAATTAAGCAGGTTAATAGGAATTCTTCGTGCATGAAAAAGTATCACAATTGATTGGAGGCGATGCTCTCAGATATTAGGTGGTAATTGTCGCGATCAGTAGACTTCATGGCGTGATTCTTCGGGGTCAAAAAATAGATTTCTAGAGCAGAAAGCCAAAGGTGACTAACTCAGGGGCACATATATAATGAGTGGGATCCCCCCTCAGGACTAGTTGATTTCCGCTTAATAAAAGACAGTTTTCTTAGATCTTACTGGTGTTATTACCAGCCAGGAAATGGTCGTAAGGGGAAAAGCAGAACCTGTTGAAGTGAAATAATGGCTCAAGTTGGGATTGCGTCAAACCGCGAAGAAAATCTCTTATGGTTCAGGCAAGTTAAGCGGATGAAATACTATTAAGAGAAAACCCAAAAATTGCTTTATCAGGGGCAAGAATGTTCCACAGCCCTTGGTAAACGAGATGAATAGATCATTTTTACGGTAAATGGTACGTTCTTCAGATAACAGTATAATAAATGTGTACTTGACTCATTGTCAAAGGCGAAGACGCCGGATCAGGGAAAAACAAGAATTAAAATTGCACTGAGGCAGTGAAGAGGGATGGCGTCCGACCAGGAGGAGCCCTGGGTGTCTATTCGTTATTGCAGACACGAATGACAGTAAAGCGATAAACCCAATATGCAAAGAGTCCAATATACAACAAGAATGTGAAAACATTCATTTCACCTGTTGGTTCTGCGCCTAACTAGAGGTTATATGCAGGATGGAAACCAGACTAAAGGTGGGCATTGTACAATACCACAGCTCTAGGAAAAAGGTGATTTTAGCACAATCATTTGACATGTCTCAAGAATCATCTGGTTAGAGTCACTTAATGCTTATGACCGGGTCTCTTGGGAAGATTATTGAATGGGAAGGACCAATTCAGGCTACAACATTCCATAGTGGGACGTAATAGGTCACTGAAAAATGTGAAATGAAAAGAAAAAACATCTTGCGCGAAATAGGTAGAAGTTTTCCTTAAACAAAAAGATCTATGTTCGGCAGTCTGAGAGTCCAATTTATGGAAGGAAAACAATTGGAGGCTAAATACACAAAGAAGCTGAGGATAATAGTCGAAATTAGGATTTTTGAAGCTCAAGGCAGTGATAGCACTAGGGTCTGAATATTTTGAAACATAAACAAACACCAGCAGCAAAATTATGTATAGGAATGAGAGTAAGATTAAAAGTCGTCAACAACGAGAAGGACGAGTGTTGGATATAGCGTGGAACCTTTTGAAATTCCGAAATTAATGAGGATCGCTCTGAAAATTGCTCTATGAAGGAGAACTGAGATTGAACTGTCGGAAAAAAAGTTTCTTACACAGCAGATGACGCCAACAGGTTGAAGGATAAGTTCGTTTATCAAGAAGTCTATAATGACAAATTCAGTCGGATGTCTTGAAAACACTGACCGAGACCAGAGGCAATTCAAACTAATGATTATTTGGGATGGAAAAAATATATGACTTGAAAAACCACCAGACGAACATTGAATGTTCTGCGGCTGAAAACATATAGGCGATTGTTAGGAAGTTCTCGGTGGTTCATGTAACAGAGATGCTATTTTTGAATCACAGCCTTATTGACGGACGACAAGAGGAAGGAGCGGCGATCATTGTCAAAGTTCTTAGATGTACCTTGCCTACGTATGGAAGAGGGGAATTATTTTTTCAACAGCTGAGACAAACAGTATGAATGAGCTTGGGAGAAGTAAAAAAAGATGATTCGTCGCGCAAGTCTTCCTCATGATTTGTAAGATGTATCTGAGCGAAGTGGTGTGAATAAATCTGAAGAACGCAGTCCTAGACGAAAAACTCTGGTGGTGTTTTTGGACAAAATATGAGACCATGCTTGGTAAGGATTAAGGGAGGAATGATAAATGGAGATAAAATGGAGTCGGAAGTAAGACAAGAGACGAATACCCCAACCCTTTTTTAAGAGATCATGGCCCAGATCACCAGCAATGTAACTAACTGACGGACAACAGAACGATAAACGGCCTTGCAAAGAACCAGAACTGGTTGCTGCCCCAAGACGAGAGTTTTCGAGTTGATTAGCTTCACGATAATCAAATTATGCGTTGCCTTTCTGGATAATTGCCAAGCGTTTGCTCTGGCTTGCACTTAGCAATGAGGAGAAGAGAGATTTGCGGAGCAGAAACAAACTTTAGAGAGATTTCATTTTCGGGCCGATTGCGCGGGCCAAAGGTTAATACACAATCAAGGGGAGGGACATTTTTGAGTTTATCAAAAGGCAAAATAGCTCTGTGTATTGCTTGGATAATATGCTCTAACCTTGTCACGACAGAAATGAAAGGGCAGAGAGGAAAAGCACAATCACCGAAGGGATAAGATGACGGCATGTCAGGGAAACCACTTCAATCCACAGGCTTGTAACACCAGAATACACCACTAGAAGGAAATGTTAGGACGAAAGTGCAGTGTGAAAATTGATGACGCCAAGTCTAAAGGTCTGACGAGATAAGAGGGAAAGATTCTGATATTTCAGACAAAAGGGAGGAAATGGAAGTTAATCATGAGAGCGCGCTCCTTTGCTAAAAAGCGCTAAGTAATGAGAGCCCTGCGGAAAATGCTATGGAACATTATTGCTACATTTCAGCCCGCAAATGCTGGGATAGGGGATGAGCATGCTTAATGAGGAAGAAGAACGAGAAATGTGGTGCGTTGCACACCAGTAGCGTGTATTATCGTGATTGCTTTGTTCATAAAGAACTGATCGTAATGGTCCGCATTCAACTGGTTTATTTTAGGCGCTTTCCACTGTCTTTAGATGCTCATTCCATTTGCGGTGAGTTGAGTTAGATCATTGGTTGCTCTGCGAATGCCTGTGGTTCTTCTGAATGTGATGTATCGCCTATTCTACATTGGTTTTCGATTGGCTCTTGGTAAAACTTTTGTTGTCCTCGATAACATTTTTAGAACCGTAAGTTATACCAAATATGCCTCATTATCTTCTACTGGGTTAGTTTTCATCGAGTATGTATCATACCTAGGTAATGCGAAGTTCTTTTACATAACAAACCACTAGTGATAGTTAACACCATCTTGTACAAGTACATGGATAATCTTGGTTTCACTGCACGCCAATTCGGTGATTCTGATATTTTTCATATTACTTCACTTGTACATAGGCATATTCTCTATCATTATTGATTGAACACCAATGATGTCTTATCATTGTCATATGTGGTTTAACGCTCAGAGCACTTGGGATTACTTCTTCGTGATTATCCATTGCAGACTGTTCACTATGAAGTTACTTGCAGTTTCATTCACTATTATTCTTTAATCAGGGAATTAAATTTCGGCACAAACAATGTTCCACAGGAATACATTCAACTCTCGGCCCCCACAGTTTTATCCGTGTCATGATATACGACAGTAACACAGATTTAGTTGAAACTTGAGGGCTTCTGCAACGCTGTTGAGTAACAAGTCTAAAATATTCCAGCCTTCACTACACCTAGCCATGCACTATCGTGTGGCAGTTATGTTTGCTGTATTTTGGCTACCCATTTGAGTGAAGGATTAAGCGGAAGACTGAAATTCTGGAAGTAGTGTTCAAGTCAAAACAGTAAAGCAGTGAAGACGAAGGTTACAAGGACATTCTTCAGTAGATGCACCACTGGTAATGGCACTCAGCTATAGCACTCAATGTTTTTAACCATCGATTAGGCTGATCCCGAGATCCCTATTTAGGAGACCCAAAACAATTTTATGTGAACAAGTTTCCTAGTTAGCGTTTTGATGCCACCATGGCAGGTCTTAGTTTGACTATTCGTGTTTTTATTCCATCCATTGCCTGCCTCGGAAAACTGCACACCGTTGCAATCTATTTCGTGCCATGGATAACACACTCTCTAAACAATGTAATCCACGGAATAGAGCGCTTGCTGCAATCTATGACAGCGGTTACAAAACTAATTTATGCCTCATCTCCGAAAAACAGATGATACGTAAAATGTGAATGGCAAGCATGAGATACTAGAATACCCACGTCAAATCAAAAACGACAACATGAGGTCCTTGTGGAAATATTTACTAACTTTATCAAATGATGTAGATTATCATATAAACCACACTTCGCCGTTTCTATCAATCGACTAGGCTTGACTAATGTCAACACCCTCAATGAATAGAACACCCACAAACGGTAAGCGCTAATCATTATTGGATTTGGCTGAATAAAACATGAGTGTAAAAACACTTGGGAATTGATAACAAAAGGAATTTGTCCAGATCCAATACGAGAAACTGAAGAGGTAGTATCTTCAACGAATCAAGAATGTTTTATGCAAACAACGTTGTACTGAACACCGAACAGAACCGCTTTTTGGTAGTTTTAAATAACACCATTTTGTGATGCGTAAAACAAGAGCCATGTGTCATGGTTACGAAATTCAACGGTTCATGCCCGAAAACTGATAACTCTAGCCTTAAGTTTCTCAAGAACAAAACTGTTTTGAACCCACACAATAGCGAAACTGCTTATCATTAGGAATGGTTGACAGATTAGTGGTCGAACCTCGAACCCGAGGGATCGGGGCACGTCAGTGCCCATAATGCTGTGCAATAAAATAGATGCCATAACATCTGCACAAATATCACATCAATTTTATCGAAGTGCTTTAGCCTACGCTGTTTGCCGCCGAAAATTTTGCATTCATCTCAAGGGGGATAAACACTGATCATTTCGATTGGTAAGGTGTACTTAATTCGAGTGGAACTTTATTGCTCAGATGGTGGTACGTTTCTGCACCGGGTTCAAGATGCTTCACGTGATACTGACTTACCAGTGTAATTCCAATACCAATTTCAGAACCACACTTGAAACGCATAGCTGAGCGCGGTTAGGGTAATGAAGCAGGGGAAAGCAGAGAATACTTTACCATTGTCAAAACAAAATGTGATGTCTTCACGTCTACCTGCATTTAATACAAAAAATGTTAGATCACTCACCATAACATCAAACAATGTGCTTGGATCTAGGTGGATTTTTTGATGACTGAGCATATACGAGGCAAATCGATTTTTGTTGTCCAGTTTCACTCGCATTATGTCCAATCGCAATTTCGGTTCGTCCACGTGATCACGAAGTCGATTGAGCATGCACAAATTTGTGATCCAACTCTCATCCCCTTGCATTGCGTCCATGATCAGGTCGGCCAGGCCCGGATTGCACAGGAGCAGCCAGCGTCGGGGTGATATGCCATTGGTTTTGTTTACAATTTTACGTGGCCAAAGTTCAGTGAAATCTTTGAATCTGGATTCAGGAGACGGAACCAAATAGAGAAGAACAGCGGAAACACGAACGTATCAGGATGAGATGTGACTAGCATAGACTGGCAAATCAGATATGAATAAGCGAAAAGTATAGTTTGAAAATCGGTGTTAGTTGACCGCGTACAATATGCACATAACAAAGCCTTTGAAAGACGATCGCCTATTTAATCCATCCCATACGAACCGAATCAAAAAATTCGCTCCAACTTTTCAAACTCGCAAACAGTCGCTCGTAAATGGTTGTCTGCCTGGTTAGATGAGAAGTATGATTTTGAGCAAGCACAAATAAGTTATGCATTAAGTTAGTATTCGGTTATTTTGCGTAAAGGTTTTCCTGCACTGGACGAAATGAAAACAGTCATCATGCATGCGTGATGCGTCAAATTAGACAGTATTTCTGTAAAGTCAAAAGCAATAAACAGGTGATCAATGTTGACAGATGAAGAATATAAACCGGTCGAAGCGCTCTGAAGTCTCGTGGACAATGAATGCTTCTTTTATTGACCACATTTACTGTCCTGTTATTGTGCCGTTTTTTTTCAATATAAAACGCTCGAATACTGATCAGTTCAGGTTATAAGTTATTGCCTCACACGAGTAACGTGTATCATTTAACATTGTTTCAACTGATCGATTTTCACCTCCTCGGGATTTTTATCCAGAAATTTGTGCCATTGTTGTCGATTTACAACGGGGTGCAAAAGGACACAGGTGGACGGACACTTATACAGAGTTATCGCTTCTGTAAAATGGAAAGTTCATAAAACTGTATTGTTAACTTCTTTAAAAGAAGCGCTTAACATGATCGCGTGCACAGATACATTCGGTGGGGCCTTTGAATTTCGGCAGTGATTTTTGAAATTGGACGACTATTTACGTTTTTGCAGTGGATACTATTAACCGTACACGTTTACATCAATTCACCGATTTTTCAAGATCAAATGCTGACCTACAACTTCTACTTTATGAAATCTTTCTGTGTTTTCGCGAATGACGTTAGAATTTCAGCGTTTTCTCATTCCGTGAGGAATCGTTACAAACGGTTGAGAAATAAACGTCAAGGTCACCATAAAAAGCATCGCGCTGGCTGGCAGGTTGCGCTCAGCCGAAGTTCTATCAACAGGGTGACCATTCCGTCCATTCGTTCGAGTACCATTCGCTCACTTGTGGGAAAAATTGATGACGTCCAGAATCTGGGGCAGCAGAAACAATGCAAAAGTGTGGGAGTCATTTTACTCCAGGAAATCTGGTTACACCCAGATATTGAGGATGATGTGGTCGGATTAGACGGCTTTGATATTTTCAGGAATGATCGCATAGTGAAATTTCGCAACAGAGGTGGCGGAGTGGTCACTTTCGTAAATCGAAGTTGGTGCAAGAACACTCATTTGATTCGTTCATACTGAAGAAGTAAAATGAATGTACTTTTGTTTGCTGCAAGCCCCGCTTTCTCAGTAGATTTCGCTTCATTTACTTTGTAAATATTTATATTGCCCCTGATACACTCACCCCCGACTTAAGACTATTTTCTGATACTGTAGTAACACAATTCGCCAGTTGCATTGACCAGTCCTTATGTGTTACTGCTGGTGACTTAGATCGCTTTGATACCTCCTTTCTCACGACTCTAGGCTTAGTGAACCTTGTCAATTTTCCACCCCTTACCAAGGCCTTTCTTGATAGCGTTTATGTAAATAATCCCAATATGTTTCACGTTTTTAAACGAGACCCAATTAGCACTTCTGACCACTCTACCATTCTTCTTTACCCCAAAATATACTGTAAAACCAAACACTGCCTTCATACACGACCTACCTTTCGTACTCTACGGAAGAGAAATTGTTCTCCTGAGAACTTGTCCCGACTGCGGGACTTAGTTTCTTCTACTGATTTTTCTATGTTCTTCCATTACCAACTGTCTTCTTCTTGTGAACACCTTACCAATTATCTCAATTTCTGCTGTGACCAATGCTGTACTGTTCAAATTATTTATATTCCAACTGATGGGTTTTCCCGTCCCCTTCTTAAGTGATTTCATCGTGCTAAAGAGACGGCATATATGGCCGGCAGGAGTAACAGTGTCAAAGAACCCTCTGTTGTGATTAGAGCAGAAGTAAGGCGCCTGAACAAAATGTACGTGGAGACTGTTTTGGGAACAAAAACTTTCGTGGGATGTGGACTACCTTGCGGAAACTCTGTGGCTCACGCATCAGTTTTGTCCCAACTTTGAGGTGCTGAAGCACCAATTTACTCCGGTACCTGCATATAGCTCCCTCCCACCTCTTATTCCTACCCATAATGCAATAAACCCTGTTTCTCCGAACGAGTTCCTCCAAGTTTTGAGGAGACTCAAGGCCAATAAAGCTCATGGTCCCGATGGATAAGCACCTCATTTGTTGAAATCCTGCACTGACTAGCTTGCAACACTCATTGTCCAATTGTCCAGTANTCCCGATGGATTAGCACCTCATTTATTGAAAGCCTGCGCCGACCAGTTTGCGACACCATTGCCGAATTGTTCAGTACTTATTTGTCATCTGGAACGATCCCCGATTGTCGGAGGTCAACTCGGATCAGACCAATCCCAAATAAAGGATCGTCAAAGTACCGTTCTATTGCCTGCACATCTGTGTTGCTGAAGGCTTTTGAAAATGTTTTGCTCCACCGCATGATACCCCAGTATAACTCCCATGACCCTTTACAATTTGCTCATAAACCCCATTTATCCACACCTGACGCCGTTGATCATATTGTTCATTTTGTTTCTTCCATCTTAGACAATAGCGCTGGTACCATTCGTTTAACTTTTCTTGACTATACAAACGCTTTTGTTTCTTTCGACCAAGACTGCTTATTGATCGTCTTTCTGAGTGTGGTCTAACTCCTGAAGTCTGGAATGTACCAATCAACTACTTATCCCGTAGGACTCAGTTTACTACACTCAATGGTGTACAGTCTCCTTCTATTAACATTGAAGCCGGCGGTTTTCAGGGTGCCATTTTGTCCCCTTTCTTGTTTTCCATGTATATACAAAATCTGCTCATTCCCACCAACTTTATTGCTTGCAAGTATGCTGATGCTATTGGGATTGGTTGCCTAG